GCTCCTGGCTTGCTGCTGTGATGCTGTGGTCGCTTTTGGGTGGGTGGGAGGAAGGTGACAGCAGTGTCAGCGGGGCCGGTTGCTCCCAGGGGAGATTTGGGTTTGAGCCTGGGAGGGGAGGAGCATCCATTGCACCTTTGGGTGCTGCCCGGGCTGGTGAGTGGTGGCTTCTGTATGATGGGGTTAGTGGCCGGGCTACAAGCGCAGACCTGCTGCTGGGTGGGAGGTTGCAGTGTGGCCGTGGGGCCACAGGAGCTGCCCGGGTGCACATCCCTGCTCCGGTCACCCTCTGTTTCGCTGGGACCATGGATGGATGCCCCTTGCTACGTTCCCACCTGTATTTTCATTGGCCCTTGGGTCTCATGTGCTGCAGGACCTGCACGGGGAGCACAGTGCATAGGGAGACCTTTGAGTCCCTCTGTGTGCTCCTGACCGCATGGTGGGTGTCAAGACAGTGCTTCCCCCTTGGCTTGCCAGGAGAGGGGCCCAGGAGCTTGGTGCTGGTGAGAAGGGTGGTGGGATGCTCCATCCTGGGAGGCCTTGCCTTTGCCTCCGAGCCTGCAAGGGAACATCAGTCGTGGTTTGCCCATTGCTCTCCGGGCAGCACTGTCTCCCCGGCAGAGACCAACCTGCGTTTCTTGCAGCCTGCTGCTAGCAGTGACTGCACCAAGCAGTGCCCAGCTCCCCAAGCCCTTCGACCTGATGGTGTCCCTCTGGGAGCACCAAGCCGGGAGAGTAAATCCCAGCCTCTCACAGAGCCTGGGCTTGGCTGGGCCGCGCTGCTGCTGCAGGGAGAGCTCAGTGGAGTGTTCCCTGCAGGTAGTGAAGATGTCCGGCAGCGATCCCGAGCGGCCCCAGTTCCTTTTTGTGAAGGTGTTGGCGAGCTGGGGGCGGCTGGAGGCGGTGACCCAGCAGATGGGCTACCACCCGCAGTACCTTGACAGCTTCCTCAAGATGCAGCACTACCTGATGCACATGGATGGACCACTGCCCTTTGACTGCCGGCACTACATCGCCATCATGGTGAGCACTGCCGGGACTGCCCGGGGACACGGGGTGCTCCCTGCTCCCCTTCGACAGGCAGCCTGTGCTTGGGCTCTTCTGCAGAGGCCACAGTCATG